CCGTGGCCTCGGAGGGTGACTATGGGGAGACGGGGATCGAGGCCTTTGAGCAAGAAGCCCGCATGCGAAACATCTGCATCGCTACCTCGGAGAAGGTGGGGCGCTCCATGAACAAGAAGACCTACGACGGGGTGGTCCGGGCTCTGCTGCAGAAGCCCAATGCCAGAGTGGTTGTGCTCTTCACTCGCAGTGAAGACGCCCGGGAGCTGCTGGCGGCTGCCCAGAGAGCCAATGTGTCCTTCATGTGGGTGGCCAGTGATGGGTGGGGAGCCCTGGAGAGCGTAGTGGCCGGGAGCGAAGCAGTGGCAGAGGGAGCCATCACCATCGAGTTGGCAGCCTACCCCATTAAGGAGTTTGCTGCCTATTTCCTTAACCTCCATCCCTACAATAACAGCCGAAATCCCTGGTTTCGGGAATTTTGGGAACAGAGGTTTAAGTGCAGCTTCCACACGCAGGACTGTAGCCGGTATTCCCTCAAGGCAGGCAAGTTTGAGCCGGAGTCCAAGATCACGTTTGTGATCAATGCTGTCTATGCCATGGCTCACTCTCTCCACAACATGCACCGGGCACTGTGCCCCAATGACACCAAGCTCTGTGATGCCATGAAGCCCGTCAATGGCAAGAGGTTCTACAAGGACTTTATTCTCAATGTCAATTTTGACGGTGAGTCCAAGGTGGAGATGGGGTTTGGCTGCCAAAGTGGAAAGAGATGGGTGGTGGGACAGGAAAGACAGAGACCCAAATTTGACCCAAGACCCTCCAATTCCTCCAGCCTGCCCACACCCAAGGACCTCTGTGCCATGGGCTGTGGTTGTCCCAGGCTGCCAACAGCCCACCATCATCCTTGGGCTTTGTGTCCCCAGTGGAGACATATGTGGAGAAGCTGGTGAACAATTCCATCCTGCTACAGCTGGATGGGACCCGCTCCACAAGGAACCCTTCCTTGGAGCGTTCGCTTGCAAGTATTGTGATTTATTCACATTTCAGGGATTAAAATGAAGGGATACCCTTGAGCAGGGACTCACATAGTTTGGGGCGAATTAAAAACATGTCCTCTATGACTTGGGCTGAGCCTGGCTATTCAGGTGTCAGTGAGCGCCATGCAGGGTGCACAATTCCCCTCCTTGCCCCTGCAGATCTGGCTGGGGCTGATGGGCTCTCAGGCAGGTGGGGAGGTAGTTCTCCACCTTTGCTTTCCTACTCCTAATGTGTACACAGGCAGCAAGGATGGGACTGAAGGCAAGAAACAGATTGGACATTAAACTGTGTCCATGGTGGGATGTAACCCTTTGAAGGAGCGCTGCCTCCAGGCTGGGAGCAAGTGTTCTCCTGCCTCATGGCAGTGACAATCTCCCCTTGTCCTCTCTCCAGCTCCGTTCAGGCCAGCAGACACGGAGAGTGTTGTTCGATTTGATCGCTATGGTGATGGGATCGGGCGCTACAACATCTTCAACTATCACCACGTGGACGGGCGGTATCGGTACCAGAAAGTGGGCTACTGGGCAGAGGGGCTCATCCTCGACACCAGCCTAATCCCGTGGGCTGAGGCCTCCATCCCTGTGTCCCAGTGCAGTGACCCCTGCAAAAAGAATGAAATCAAGAGCATGCAGCCCGGAGATATTTGCTGCTGGATCTGCATCCCCTGCCAGCCCTACGAGTACTTGCTGGATGAGTTCACCTGCATGGACTGTGGTCTTGGTTACTGGCCCAACGAGACCCTGAATGGCTGCTACGAGCTGCCCCAAGAGTACATCCGCTGGAAAGATGTCTGGGCCATTGGTCCCGTCACTATCTCTTGTCTGGGCTTTATCTCTACGCTCTTTGTTATCGGAGTCTTCGTGAAGAATAACGACACCCCCATTGTGAAGGCCTCCGGCCGGGAGCTGTGTTACATCCTCCTGACCGGGGTCCTCATGTGCTACAGCATGACCTTCATCTTCATCGCGAAGCCCTCCACCGAGGTGTGCACGCTCCGGCGCCTGGGGCTGGGCACGTCCTTCGCCGTCTGCTACTCGGCCCTCCTGACCAAAACGAACCGCATCGCCAGGATCTTCAGCGGGGTGAAGGAGGGGGTCCAGCGCCCCCGGTTCATAAGCCCCACGTCACAGGTGGTCATCTGCATGGCCCTCATCTCTTGCCAGCTCATCATCGTCATCATCTGGCTGCTGGTGGAGACCCCCGGGACAGGCAAGGAGACTGAGCCTGACAAGAGGTACATCGTCACCCTCAAGTGCAACAACCGCGACTCCAACATGCTCATTTCGCTCACCTACAATGTCCTCTTGATTGTCCTCTGCACGGTCTATGCCTTCAAGACACGGAAATGCCCTGAAAACTTCAACGAGGCCAAGTTCATTGGGTTCACCATGTACACGACCTGCATCATCTGGCTGGCCTTCCTGCCCATCTTCTATGTGACCTCCAGCGACTACCGTGTAAGAGCTTGAGCTCTGGGGGGCTCTAATAGGGCTTGATCTAAGTGGTCCTGGAGATTTGGGCCCCGTGGGGTTTGTGATTTGGAGATTTGTGGGCCTGGGGAAGGGTCTTCATCCATACACCTCTGCACTGACGGTCACCTCTGCACTGGGGCATTCGGGACCAGGTGAAAGATCTTGAAAGGCTGTGGCTGAGGGGGTAATGAGTCCTGGAGAGAGGACCCACTCCCTTCTGCCTTGCTAGGGTGAGGATGGAAAATGGCCCTGAGACCTCCAGAGAGCCCCTCAGCCTGATCATGGAGGAGTGATGTGTCATCCTTCAGCCTTGTGACATGAAAGCATGAGTCACTGGCCCATCCAGATATCTCACCCCAGGGCATGAAGGCCAACCCCAGGGCCAGCATGGTCCCTGGGGAGCTGGACAATGCCAGGGACTAGAGAGCACAGGATGCATCCTGCAGCACCTCAGGCTCCCTGGCAGGGCAACCAAACATGTTTCTGACAGGCCTTGAGGACTCGATGGGGGCAGATACAGCCGTGGGCTTCCAGAAAGGATCTGCATCCTCCAGAGGGAGTGGGCACTGGGGTGGGGGGTTCTGGGCTCTGCCCCCAGGCACTGTACCAAAGCAGCATGTTGGCAGGGCTGGGATGCTGCTCAGGGTGTACCTGCTTTGCAGGGGTGACATGATCCCAAAAGGGCATTCCCCATGGGTCTGACAGAGGGATGTGTTGTGGTATGGGGTGGGATGTCCCTGCAGGGTGGAGTCCGTGCCCAGTGGGGCTGGCCAGTGCCACTGGGGCTTCATCCTGCCGTCCTTGGGGCAGACGGCTCGTGGGTGGAGCACCTGATGCCCCCCACTCTGTCTCCAGGTCCAGACCACCACCATGTGCATCTCAGTGAGCCTCAGCGGCACCGTGGTCCTCGGCTGCCTCTTCACCCCCAAGCTCCACATCATACTCTTCCAGCCGCAGAAGAATGTGGCCAGTCACCGCGTGGGCACCGCTCGGTTCAGCGTGGCAGCTGCCAGCTCCAGCCAGTCCCAAGGTGAGCACAGTGAGGCTGGGGAAGGGCTGGGGGGGCAGCATCCCCTTCCTGGTGGGGGTGTGTGTGGGAGTACCCCAGCATGGGCTCCTGAAGGAAAGTGGGGGGTGGGGTAGGGCCTGATGGGAAGTGGGGAGGATGAAGGATGCTGTGTCCCCAGCAGCTCATCCCTGTCCCTTGTCCCAGTGCCTCATCTCCCAGGACAGCACAGCTGCCAGAGGGGTACTGCTCCTGGGGGCATGTCATTGCTCTGAGGGAACATGGCCATCCCCCAGCACTCTCCGCCTCAGCCCCAGGGGGACATAGCCACTCCAGGCACCCTCCACCCCAGCCCAGGGGATTCAGCTGCCCCCAAGTGCCTGTCACCATCCCAGGAACCCTCCACTCCACCCCCAGGGGCTATGGCCACCCCTGGGCACCTTTCATCAGCCAGAGGGTGAAATGGTCACATTGGGTACCCATAGCCCACTGCAGTGGGGTGCTCTGAGGTGCTGCTGCCAGACCCCAACCCACCCCTGACTGCTGCCTTCCTGGCCAGGCTCAGCCTCGCAGTACGTGCCCACGGTGTGCAATGGTCGTGAGGTGGTGGACTCCACGACGTCGTCCTTGTGAAGGATGGGGGGGCCAGGCTGTGGTGCTGCCACACGGCACCTCCCCAGGGAGAGCAGTGCCCACAGCATGGCCCGACCGGGTGCCGAATGCAGCCGGGAGGCTCAGCCCCTGCCCCAGCACGAGCTACACATCCCACCTGTCAGGTCATGGTACGTGTCACCCTTCCCTTGCACCGAGCCACGTTACATGTCCTCTGCACCCTGCACTGAGCCATGGTGAACATCCCCAACCCCTGCACTGAGCCGTGGTGAACATCCCCAACCCCTGCACTGAGCCACGGCGCATGTCCCTCTGCGTCACCTGCACTGAGCCATTGTGCTCCCCCACCCCCTGCACTGAGCCATGGTGAATGTCCCTGTCCCTTGCACTGAGCCGTAGTGCACATTGCACGGACCTTGCACCGAGCTGTGGTGTGTGACCCCCATTCCCTACACCGCCTGTGGCACAAATACCCCCTTCCTGTCCCTTGCACTGAGCCCTGGTGCACAACGTGACTCCCTCTCTCGCAAAGCCACATTCCAACTCCCACTTTTCTTGTGCCAATCCACGCTGCACCTCCTGCTCCCTCCACGCTGGCACACACTGCCCACCACGCTTTCCCTGTCACCCCGTGCCAAGCCGTGCTCCACGTCACACTTTTCCTGGCGCTTCGTAGTTTCACTTTTCCTCCTGGTTTGGCCCCAGCAGAGCTGCCGAGTGGCCGGGCTGGGCCCAAGCCCCCCATCGCTCCCCTCCCTGTGCGTGGCACTTCTCACCCCTTTATGGGAGACGGGGCAGGAGCAGGGGCAGATGAATTCCCGCTGGCCCCCAGCCCTGGCAGATCCCAGAGGGGCCGTTGGAGGCTCAGGGCGAGTAACGGGATCCAGGTATTTGAGCCCAACCACGTTTTTAAGAGTAGATATTTTTCTGTGAGCAAGAATGTGATTTTTTTTTTTTTTTGTAATTTATGTAAATAAAGTCGTTTTGGTGGTTTGCTTTTTTTACAAAATGGACTGTTCCAGAGCTCAGGTCCGGCCGAACCTGAGGGAAGGGGACAGACCCTCGCAGAGGGCAGAGCCACATCACAACACGGGGGCCAGCAAGGCTGTGTGACACCCCCTACTCACATCCTGCCAGCCCCAGGGAGGTGGCTGCACCAAGGATGCATCAAGGTGCAGCTCCAGGGACAGAATGACCTGCTTCACGACCCGGGGGTTAGGAGCTGCCAGGAGATTCAGGGCCAGAGGCCGTGGTTCTCTGTTTAAGGGGGATGATGCAGATGCTGTTTTTGGCTTCTTTGATTCTCCACCACCGTCCAAGCCTGTGGATGAGAGAGATGAGGGTCACACTCCAGCAAGCACCAGAGGAAAGGGGGCTGCACCCCCAGGCAGTGCCAGGGAGGAGGGTCAGTACCGGTGCTCCTGCCCGATGCCAGCCACCAGGAAGTCACCAGATGACGAGAACTTGAGGCTGTTGACAAAGCCCACCTGGAGGGGACAGGGCAGGGTGAAGGGAGAGGGCAGGTTAAGGGGATCCCATAGCCTCCTCCTGCTGTCCAGGGAGGGGAGCCCCTGCAGTGAGACCCTCCAGCCCAGCTCCAGCATTCCCAACCTGCCCATCAATCCATACCAAGGGGATGTCCCAGAGGTGCTCCAGCTTCCGAAATCCCTCACCACACTTCCAGAGCTTCACGCTGGCACTGTGGGATCCTGGGACAGAGAAAGGAGATTGTCACGCACCCCAACCCAGGGATGGGAGGAGGACCTCCCCCACACCCTCAAAGCGGCTGCCACACACCTGTAGCCAGGAGGTCACTGTTGCGCAGGGCGGCCACCGCTGAGATCCAGTAGGGCTGCTCCAGGCCCTGGGCATCCTGCATGCCGTGCGCCTGCCGAGCCAGCGCCAGAGGTTTCTTCTTTGTCAGCCCCCAGAGGGCTAAAGACCTGACGGGGACGTGAGGGGTGAGGGGGCTGAGGGGGCGCCCTGCCCACCCTTGGCACTGCCCCAGCCCCGTGCTCACCCGTCATCGGCGCCGGACACCATGTGCTCCTCATTGATGAGCTGAATACAGTCAATGGAGCCCCTGTGAAGAGAAGGGGTAACTGTCAGCAGTTACAAGTGTGCTTTGGGATCCTGTTCAGGAGATGTGGGCTCGCCAGGGTATCAGCATCCCCAGGGTGCTCCCTGAGATGCTTGGCAGCCACACACCACTGTCCCAGCTGGGCATGCCTGCCCACAGCCTCCTCTCCCACCCCAGACCTACTGGTGCCCAGAAAACACGAGCTGTGTCTCCTCAGGGATTTTCCAGAGCCGCACGGTGCCATCCCGTCCCCCCGCCGTCACACAGCACTCCCGGCTCAGGCTGTCCAGCCCCGTGATGACATCCTGGTGCCCGAATCTGGGGGAGGAGATGGCAAAGAGACGTGGCAAGCATGGCCCTCTGCCCCCTCACCTTGCCTCCCCCAGGGATGCTGGCACACCCTTTGGCAGGGTCAGTGGGATCCCCCCCGGCCTTACAGGGTCTCCACATAGGCGTTCTCTGCCACGTTCCAGACTTTGACGCAGCGGTCATGGGAAGCGCTGTACAGCTGGTGTGTCCCCTTGCGGAAGGACAGGCCCTGCAGACAGACGGATGGACAGGGCACAGCAGTGAGGGAGGGGCACCAGGGAGGATGGGGCTGCCCAGCCCCACAGGCACCACGCCTGATGCCCCTGACTCACCGAGACAGCGTCACGGTGCCCTGTGAAGATGTGCAGGCGCTTGCAGGTGGCTGTGTCCCAGATCATGATCAACTTGTTCCTGTCTCCTGTGGCCTGGCAGACAGCAGGGGATGCCCAAGACCCGCCTCTCAGAGACCCACAGCCCACCCCAGCCTCCACTCCCATGCCAGCCTCCATTCCCACCCCATACGCTTTCGGGTGATCCCAGGGACCCATCCTTAAATCTGTAGCGGATAGGGGCTGCTTTAACCGGGCAAGGCACATCTGGCCACGAGACACAGGGAGGAGATGCAGTCCCCATGGCCACCTCTCTGTCCCCTGTCCCCATACCAGGTACTTGCCATCCGATGAGATGGCCATGCAGAGGATGTGGGATGCGTGTCCCATGTGCCGCTCCTCCGTGCCCTTCTTCCCTCCGGGCACCACGCACAGCCTCTTCCCGCTGTCCACCTCCCCTGCGGGAAAGGTACGGCCACCATCACCCTCTGGGAGCCTCCCACCACTCCCAAAAGTGCTAATGAGCCTCCCACGAAGCCCAGAACCATTCCCAAAAGTGCCAACGAGCCTCCTACAGATCCCAAAACAATGCACATTCCTGGAGCAGCCAAGGGCTAAGTCACCACCACAGGTACCCACAGCCCTGATGCTGCAGGGTCCCCTGCAGAACAGCCAGTTGCAGCCTCAGGTGAACACTTGCATTTGATGAGGGAGCCATCCTTGGATGCAGAAAAGATGAACTTGTCATCAGGAGAGATGACCAGGCAGGTGACAGGCAGCTGGTGTCCTCGCAGCACACGGATGCTGGCTGGATCCGGAGGCTGCACCTGCAGGGAGAGTGGGATGTGAGCTGGGCTGCCCCGGCCCCTTCCCCAGGCTTGGGAGTACCCCAGCATGGCACCGTGGGCAGGAGAAGGGCCGTGGGGTGCTGGCCATGCCCGAGTGTCCCCCAAAGCTGGCACTTATGATCTGGCACCGGGCACTTACATCTTTGGCGACCAGGCGCTGCAGCCGGCCCTTCTGCTCGAGCTGGGGGAGAAGTGGGAGGCTCAGCGGAGGCGGCCCCAGCCCCGGTCGCGCGGGAGGGGCACAGAGCCCACCACCGGGACCGCGGGGCCGCGCCCGCCCCCCCGCTCACCACGTCCTCCTTCAGTCGGTCGCCGATGAGATCCGCCGGCTGGGTTTCCTCCTCCTCCTCCTCCGCCCGTTCCTCCTCTGCGGTGGGACAGTGCGTGAGAGCCGGGCCCAGCGCCCGGGCCGCCCCGCTGGGGCACCGGGGCCAGGCGGGACTCACCGAGCTGGCGGAGCTCCTCCAGGTACTGCTTGGCCAGGCGCAGCTTCTTCTCCTGCGGCGTCTCCTCCACCTCCTCCTCCGCCGCCGCCGCCTCTCGCCGCCGCCGCCCCAACGACAGGCTGCGGGGACACGTGTGCGTGAGCATCCCCCCGGCACCGACACCCTCCCGGTACCGGCACCCACTCCAGTACCGGCACCTCCCTGGCGCAACTCTTACCTCTCCGTCTCGGAGTCGCTGGACACCTCCTCGTCGGCGGGCCGGCCGGCCGCCGCCCGCGGTCTCCCCTGGGCGTTCGGGACCTGCGGGACCGGGCGGATCAACACAGGAACGGGCGCGGCGAAACGCGCGACGGCGGCCACCCCGCCTGGACAGCCCCTCCTCGCCCCCCTCCCTCCCTCCTTCCCCGTGCCGGCCCTCACCGCCGGGCGCGGCCGCCGCCGTCCCGCGGCCCCGCGCGGGGCCTTGGCCCTCCTGCCGCTCGCCGCCGCCGCCGCCATGCTGCCGGGACACGTGGGGCCGCCTGCCGCCCGCCGGCACCGGGCCCCGCCCCCGGCAGCGCCCATTGGCTGCAGGCGGCCGGGCCCCGCCTCCCATTGGCCCTCCTTGTCTTGGAATCGCCTTCCCGCCCCGCCCCCCCGCCCGGGCGGAGGCGGTGCTGTCACTCAGCGGTGAGGCCCCGCCCCCTCTGAGATAGGCCACGCTCTTAGCCCCGCCCATGCCGAGATAAGCCCCGCCGCGCGTGTCGGGGACCCGCACCCCGAGCCCGGTTGTCACACCCCTAGCCCTCCCTCCTCTGCCCCCCATGGCTTCTCGGGCCCTGCCCCGCAGCCCCCGTCGCAGCTGGTGGCCCCCAGACCTAGAGTCGCGATGGCGGTGACAGGGAATGGGTGGCTGCTTCCCAAATCATGGTCACCTTCTGCCTCTCAGGGACCCTCAGCCAGGGGGGCACGGCCTCTGGTCCCGTCCCATGTTCTTTAGGGGGTCTCAGGGACCCGTCCTTGGCTGTGCCGGGGTAGTGCCTCTCTGTCTGGGACAAGTGATGCTCTAAAGAGCTAAAATCTGTTTTGGGGTATAAACTTTATTTTACACAATCAGCTTTTCTCCTTGGCACTAGTGGAGGCAGGGAAGGACAGCGGGAATGTCCTGCACTGGTCTCTGTAAGGCGACAGGCTTAGGAAGGGAGAAGCTGTCTGGCTGCTCTCTGGAGGATTCTGGCTGAGGTCTCTTCTCTCCTGTCAGATTTCGGGAAGAGCAGATACCCCAACCTGCAGAGCATCCTAGGGCTCAGACTGCTGCTTTCTTGTGCCCCAGCAGAGTCCTCGCTGGAGAAGCTTACTGAGCAGCAGAGATGCCACAGCCACCACCATCAGGGACACAGTGGCAGTGCTCAGAGCCTGTCCCAGCCCGTGCAGGTAGATGCACCAGCTGGGGAGTGATGATATTCCCAGGCTCAGCACCTCAGGACATACGAGGGGAGCCAATCTCTCTGGCTGGAAGCCTGTCGGGGCTACAGAGTTTTGGCCTTGGTGGCCCCAGGCTGCTGCGGAGCTGTTGTCCAGGCTGAGGCTGCAGGAACCCATGCCAGGGGCGGTCTGGAGGCAGATAGATGGGCAAGGACTCACCACCCCATCTATCCAGGCAGCAGGAGCAGAAAGGCAGCAGTGGGCAGGGAGGGGGTCTCTGCCTGGGGACTCAGCAAGCTGGACCTCAGGGGGACACATCTGAAGGGTCCAGTGCCAGCACTGCACTACCCAAAGGACCTACCAGGTGGGGAATCCCACCTTGGCCATGCTCTTGTCCTGGTCGTGCAGGTGAAGGAGCAGTGGTAGCAGCAGTGCAGGGCTGTCCCGCACCTCCTTTTTCATCAGCTTCATCTCACCCATGAGGCCCATCACCACTCGGAAGAGACGGATGGAGAGCTCCCCCACGGTGTCCGACTCCTTGGGGAGGAGGGAAGGAGGACCTCAGGCAGCTCTGCTCCAGAAGGAAGCGGAGCTGCGGCACTGCAGGTCTGCCATGGGGTCCTTGGGGCTGGCGGCTGGAGAGGAAGGCTCTGCGGAGGGCCGGGTGGCTAAGGGTGGGTGTGCCGCCGTCCTGCCACGGCCAAGGCTGGGTGAGCGGCTGCGGGGAATTCGGGATCGGGGCACGGGCGGTGCGTCCTCCGGCCGCCCGGGGGCGCGCGGGGCGGGGCGGGGCGGGCGGGGCGCGGGAAGTGACGGCGGCGGCGGGGCCGGAGAGCGGTACGGGCGGGACCGGGCGGGACCGGGGCACGGCGGGAGGGGGAACGGGACGGGGCAGGGGCCCGGGGGCGGGGCAGTGGTGGGCGTGTGGTGGGTCAGTGTTGGGGTCTGTGATGAGACCAGTGATGGGGCAGTGGTCTGGTCAGTAGTGGGATCAACGATGGGCCAGCGGTGGGACAGTAATGGGGTCAATAATGTGTCAGTGATGGTCAGTGCTGGGTGATGGGGTCAGTGATGGGTCAGAGATGGGGTCAGTGCTGGGGTCAGCGATGGATCAGTGGTGGGTCAGTGATGGTCAGCGATGGTGGTCAGTGGTGGGGTGGGTACCGTGTGTTCAGGACGTGCAGCCATGAGGTGGGGGCAGCGATCAGCTGGGTGAAGCAGTTTCTATTTGTGCACCATGTGTGGGTGCCGAGTCGTTTGGAGCGATGGGGGGATGCAGGCAGGATGGGTGTCCTGTGTCAGGGTCCAGGGTGGGGAAGTGGGGTTGCCGCGGGGCCCTGGACAGACGTGTCATTCACACCAGGGAAGCAGAACCAGGCTCTGTGGTTGGTCATGAGCCTGGGCTGCTTCCTGCCGTGCTGCTGCGCAGGCACCGAGGGCGCAGGAGCCGGCAGAGCGGGCAGGGTGAGTGTGAGCAGGGTGACTGTGGGCAGGTTAAGTGTGGACAGGGTGAGTGTGAGCAGGGGGAGAGTGAACAGGGTGAGAGTGAGCAGGGGGAGAGCGAGCAGGGTAAGCACAGGGAAGGTGGGTGCAGGCAGAGTGAGTGGCAGGCAGGTGCTGTTGGGGTCCTGGTGTGGGTTTGCTGGGTGGATAGAAGAAAACCATCACCCACTGAGGGTGCCAGTGGGGTCTTGGGGTGCTGTCTGGCCTCTGAAGGTGTCATTGCAGGCTGAGCTGGGAGTCAGGGATCTTGGAGCTAGGGGGGCTACTGGGGGGCACCCTGAGGGTGTGGGAGGGCAAGCCCAAGCTCTCCCCACCCCCCAGAGGGGAAGTGGAGCAGTTTGCTCAACCCCATTCTATAAACGGGTGTGGCGGTTCCTCCTGCCTTTTGCCTGCGGCTTCTCCTTCGCAATGGGAACGGCCACCGGGCTGGGAGAGGGATCCCCACCACATGGTGGTTGTGACCCCTCAGAGGCTGTCAGGGCCCCCTGGAAACCCCATGCTGGGGACACATGTAATGAGCTGGCTGGTCTGACAGGTGCCCAGGTGGCAGGAGCTAGTGGCAGAGCTGGGGAGGGGGCAAGGCCAGCACTGTGCCTCCTGCCCCTCTGCTGGTTTGGCAGTGCCAGACCTGCCTGCAAGTCTCAAGGCACAGATTCCTGGAGCTGGCACCACGTGGCACTTCCCTGCCACTGTTGTTTGACCTTGGACCTGCCGCTAATCCCTATGAACTCATCTGTCTGCACTGCTGGGGAACTGTGCCCGCACTGGGGCCAGTGCTGGGCTGGGGGGGACACACACGATCTGTCCCCCACTGCCTCTAAACTGTGGCCTGCTTGGTTTCCTGTTAGTGAGAAGAATGGGCTCGGTGTCAGAGGAGCTCAGCTTGGTCCCCCTGCACCAGAGGCCGGAGCTGCTGGAAGCCTGTGCCGAGCTGCTGCGCGAGGAGTGGGGGAAGAGCCGGGCGTCGCGGCTCCACACGCTCCAGCGCTCCTCGGACTCCTTTCCCATCTGCCTGCTGCTGCTGCGAAGCCGGGGCCCCACCGAGATCCCTGGCCCCCGGGAGGGTCCCTGCCAGCTGGTGGGCCATGTCCGACTCTCCCGCGTGGTCGGCCGTCCCCGTGACCTCTACGTGGAGAGCGTGGTGGTGGCCCGGGCGCTGCGGGGCCAGGGCTATGGGCGGCGGCTGATGGAGGCCACTGAGCGGTGGGCCCGGGCCCAGGGGTTTGGCTGCCTGCACCTCACCACCCACGACAAGCAGCATTTCTATGCCCACCTGGGCTACGTCCTGGGTGAGCCGGTGCAGAGCGTGGCCTTCCTCAGCCCTGCCATATCCTCCGAGGTGCTGCGGCTCTTCTCTGCCCCTCCTGGTGCTGCCATCACCATCAGGCCAAGGGTACCCTCTGCCCCCCCGCCTCCCCTCCCACCCCTCACTGTCCCACCACCACCCCCTCCACCGACTGTGATCTGGGCGAGGGGTGTCCTGGCTGAGAACAGCAAGCAGAGCCTCCTGAAAACCCCCCACCGCGACGCCAAAGGGCTCCCCATCTTCTGGATGAAGAAGGACATCTGAGGGGCTGGGGCCCCAAGACGGTGATTAAAAGCAGTGCAGGCAGGAGCTGCCTGCTGTGGCGCTGCCTGACTGCCTGCCATTCTTCAGGGCTGGCACCAGCTCCCCCAGCCTCCCTGGTTCACCCTGGCCCCATTGCTGGGTGGGTCCTCACACCCTGCCCTGCCTGGGCACACTGATTCCGCTCCCACCTGGCTCCCGGCTCGCCTGGCCATGGCTCTGGGACCACCAGTGTGGCAGGGAGCCAGATCCAGTCTAGGCTGTGGGGCTGGGACTGATCCCAGGAGTGCCACCCAGTCCCAGCAGTGTCTCCTCCACTCAGGGGATTCACTGAAGGGCAGCTGGGGCTGATGGTGTGTGGTGGTCTCCAGCATGGCCACTGCTCTTGCCACTGAGCAGCCATGGGTAAACCAAGGCACACGATGGCTGGAGGGGCACCAGGGGGAGTATGGCATGGCAGTGGGGCTGCAGAGTCGGGTCCCTGAGCTGCATGGCGAGGGGGGCAGGTGGCCAAGCCCCCCCACCCCGAGGCAGCCGTCGTCAGTGAGAGCTAGAGGCATGGCAGCGGGAAGGTCAGGGAGAGCGTCCGGCCTCGCGCCGGGGGATTAGCACTGCCCTTGCTGCATCACGCGGCCCCCGGGCCCGTCCGCCGTCTAATCCCCTTGTCCCGGGCAGCTGGCCAGCACTGGGCAGGGGCACCAGCCCCCTCTGGTTCTGCCTGGTCTATGAGGGACCCAGCTGTGCCTTTGGCTCCACCATGCCTCTTGTGGGGCTTGGTCCCTCAGTAGGGCACCCAGCTGGGCAAGGTGCTGTGGTGAAATGGGGAGGAGGGGGTCATGGTGCCCCCACTACAGGCAGGATCGGAAGCCAGCAGGAAAATGGAAGCGCAGGGGTCTGTGGCTTGCAGTGCCACTCCAGAGCTGTGCCATGGCTGTGCTGGTGGCAGGCAGGGGCTCGACCCCAGCGTGCAGCAGGCAGAGGTGCCCACTGCCAGTGCTGAGGCAGGAGGGGTCTGAAACCCTCAAGTTTACCAAGTCCTGTGGGGTGGGCAGCACGTGCTTGCGGGGCACCTGGCACCTGTGGTTGATCCTAGCCTGCCGCATGCCAGGGTGGCAGTGCCAGCATGGCTGGGGTGCCTGCTGTGCCCCACAGCCTCACCCCCACTGCTTTCTTTTCCCTGCAGGGTGCTGGCCCCGCAGGCAGCCAGTGAGGGGGGATGGTGCTGGTGCTGGTGCTGTGGGTGTGCCTGGCACTGGGCACCACCAGCGGGGAGAGCCCAGCACCTGAGCCCCTGTCAGGCGGCCAGCCCTTTGCCGTAGTGTGGAACGTCCCCACTGGGCGCTGCCAGTGCCGCTTCGGTGTGGCGCTGCCTCTCAGTGACTATGGCATCGTGGAGAACCAGGACGGCTGCTTCATGGGCCAGAACATCACCATCTTCTACAAGAACAAGTTTGGGCTGTACCCCTACCTGTCACGGCAGGGTGTCCCCCACAATGGGGGCATCCCCCAGCGCGTCCCCCTTGGCTCCCACTTCGCCAGGGTGGCTGAGGACATCCGCCTCCTCCTGCGCCCTGCTTTCCGTGGCTTGGCCGTGGTGGACTGGGAGGAGTGGAGGCCCCTCTGGGCCCAAAATTGGGGGACCAAAAAGATATACCGGGCAGCCTCGAAGCAGTGGGTGCGGGACCGGCATGGCACCCTGCCGGCACAGCGGCTGCTCCGGTTGGCCCAGCAGGAGTTTGAGCAGGCGGCAGAGGCTCTGATGGAAGAGACGCTTCTGCTGGGCCAGACCCTGCGCCCAAGAGGGCTTTGGGGTTTCTACCGCTTCCCTGACTGCCTCAATGGAAACTGGGCCAAGGTAGCCAACTACACCGGGCAGTGCCAGCCGGCAGAGGTGCAGCGCAACAACCGGCTGGGCTGGCTCTGGGCCGCCTCTTCGGCCCTCTACCCCAGCATCTACCTGCCACCGGCACTACCACCTGCCCTGCGACGCCGCTATGTCCACCACCGGCTGCGTGAGGCCCTGCGTGTGGCCGCCTTCGGGGCCCACGGCCTCCTGCCCGTGATTGCCTATTCCCGCCTCTCCTTCCGCCGCTCACCCCAGTTCCTGGAGCTGGTAAGCACTGTGGGGCCGGAGTTGGTATTGTGTGTGCCAGGGGGTTCTGCGTGGCACAGGGACACAGCCTGTGCCTCCCCAGCCCGGTCATGTTTCTGTTCCTGGCAGGCTGACCTGGTGCACACCATTGGGGAGAGTGCAGCGCTGGGAGCAGCTGGACTCGTGCTCTGGGGAGACATGTCCTATTCCCGCTCAGCTGTGAGTATGGCCCCGCACTGCACTGGAGCCGGCACATGGTGGGCAGCAGGAGGTGGCATGGGACATACAGGATGGCCACATCCCTGATGCCTGGGGAGGGGTGACCAGAGGGTCTCCGGTTCCAGGGTGGGTTCTCACTGGTGCTTCCTCCCCAGGAGAGCTGTGCCAGCCTGCGCCACTACCTCGTGTCCACCCTGGGCCCCTACGTGGCCAATGTGACGGCGGCGGCCCGAGAGTGCAGCTACAGGAAGTGCCACGGACACGGGCGCTGCGTGCGCCAGCAGCCCCGTGACCTGGGCAGCCTCCTGCACCTCGGACCCAGTGCCAGCCCACCGGCTGCCTTCCGCTGCCACTGCTACCGTGGCTGGGCAGGCGAACACTGTGCGCAGCGGGTTCGGCCTGGCCCTGCCGCCTCCTGCCTGGTGCCCATCCACACTCACAGCCTTTATGGGCATAAGGACCTCCCGCCCTCCGATACCTGCCCACCACAGGGCACGTGGGGCTGGTGACCCAGGCTGGGGACCACCACGGTCCCCTACCCTGGCAGCACTGCTGCTGGCACTTAACGGTCTCATTAACTTAAATAAATCCTCCTGGCAGAGCTGGCATGGTCCTTGTGGGCAAAGCTGGGGTGGGGGGGCTTTGTGGTGCCCCCAGGCTGGGCACAATTGGCATTGCTACTGAGAGATGGCACAGACCCCAGTTTGGCTCTGGATGGGTCCAGTGGGGCCTCAGTTTCCCTGCATGGACTCTGCCCTGATCCCCTGGTGAGCTGGCAGCCCCTTTACCCTGGGAAAGGGTATGGGGCACTGCCACAACCTGCTGTCCCTTTGCCACACTGGCACTGTGCTGCTGGCAGCCCTGTCCACGCCACCAGGCCCCCCTCCCCACAGCTATTTTTATCCCCCCCCAACTGTGTTTCTCACTATCCTATTTTAAGCAGCGCAGTTGGCGCACTGGCAACCCAGTGCCCAGCTCCCAGGGGCCCCGCACCACCTCACTGCCCACTCACACTGCCCGGGCGCAGGGTAGAGGGAGCCATGCCCAGGGAGGCTGCAGAAGGTACACTGGGAGCGGGCTGGGGGCTGGTGGGGGCCCTGGCACCCCAGGGGGGACTGGGTGGCATGGGACTGTGGGGTTGGGATAGAAGCAGTGGCCAGATGGTGCCTTCTGCCAGGGGGACTGTGGGCAGAGATGCCTGCCCAGGGAAGAAGAGGGTCCTGGAGGGCTGCAGGTGCAGGGCAGCAGGGTTTGGGGAGGGGGCAGGCAGCTGGCTGGCACAGCCCCCTGCACCAAACCTATGCAACCAGCTCTGTCCCCCAGCTGGGGGGAAGCAGATGCAGGGGTGATGGGGATACCCACGGGCCAGCCCCCGGCCAAAGGCAGGGCCCTGGGGAGGGTCTGAGGGGACCTGGGTACCAGCTGAGGCTCCCCAGCCCTGATGCCCACCAACCTGCAGGGTGACTCACAGTCTGGACAGCAGCAGCATGGCGCCACACTGCCCTGCGACACACCACTGACCCCGGGAGGGATTGGGAATGGGCACAGTGCCAGCCTGCCCCGCTCTGACACGGGCACAGCACGTGGGCCCTGCCCACTGCTCAAAAATGTGCAAACACCTAGAAAAGAACCCTTTCCCTCAACCTCATGCTTGCTTCCTGAAATGGTGCTGGAGCCATGCCTACTTCCAAAAAGCTCCCTCACTCCCATGAGGGATGTGCCCACTTGGGCAGTGGGCACCAGGTCCCCCTGGCACAGCACACATCCCACATCTCCATCTGTGCATCTCCAAGCAATGCCTGAGCACGGTGCCTGCAGGGCAAGCTGAGCCACACCACCGGCTGGCACTGCCCTGGCCCTGCCCACTGCCTCCCAGCTGGCCCTGGGAGCCCCAGCCAGCCCCAAAGTGCCCGGGCTATCGGGACCAGGGGGTGGCACATTCCTGCCCCCAAGCCAGGGCCAGATTCCAGTCCCACTAACGAGGCTCCGGGAGGCTCTGGAATCGTGGCCACCAGGTGCCTGCCTGCTAAGTGCTCCGATGACAGCGTCAGGGCCGGGGGGCACAGCCAGCGCTTGCCTGCCGCGCCTGCAGGGCTGTGCCAAGGGAACACCGGCCTTGGCTGCCCGCCCCACCACAGCACTGGGCTGCCAAGGTTGGGATCCCCCCCCGGAGGGGTCTGGTCCCACAGGGGTGCCTGGGGCAGGGAGGGGTTGTGGGCAGGGCACACGCTGACCCTTTGCCTCTGCTCCAGCAGACAGCATGGGAAGGGTTGAGGGTGCTGCGCCAGCAGAGCCCGGGGACCCTGACAGCAGTGAGCCGGGAGCCATCAGCCTGTGCCCCGTGGAGTCCATCAGCGACCTGCACTTGGCCTCGGGCGGGCAGAAGGGCACAGAGGGTGAGAACGCTGGGGGGTGGTCCTGCCAGCCCTGGCTGTGCTTGTGACGGGGTTCTGACCTCTTCTCTCCCCTGCCTGCAGGCAACGGCCCGGCTCCCTCCAGCAGCCTGCGCCGGCCTCCACCTCGGCCCGTGTCCCCTGTGTCCCCAGTGCTACTGCCCACCCTGCGCCCCGTGCCCCCTGCCAGCCCCTGCCCCTGCCTCGGCCCTGGCCACCCCCTGCTGCTGGCTCTGCTGGTGCTCCTGGCACTGGCGAGCCTGGTCCTGGCCACGCTGGCCATCTACCTGAGTGGTATGTGACACTGGGCAGGGCGGGGGGCTAGGGTGCTGCAGGGGAGCCTGTCCCCAACATGTCCCCATCCTCTCCCTGCAGTCCTGCAGAGCCAGTCCGTGCGGGCGCTGGCCCAGTGGCTGGAGAGCCAGGAGGATGCCGTGCACCAGCTGCGGGCAGCCAGCAGGCAGCTCTGGGCTCGCCTCAACGCCAGCACCCAGCCCGGCGGGCACCGCTGAGCTGCTCCCAGCCCCACCACGGGCTCCAGGCCACCACGGGAAGGGGCAGCGAAGGGCAGGAGGGGGCAACGGGCAGCCTTACCTGCTCAGACCTGGCAGCATTGCCTCTCGGGGCACAGGGGCAATCCTGGCTCCCGCCCCAGGCTGCGAGAGAAAGGGACAGGGCTGTAAGGACCGGCACCCGCCTCTGTGACAGCCCTTCCTCTTAACAAGGCAGAAGACACCCTCCAATTAGCCTTTTAATTACCTCTTACAATCAAAGTCTTAGAAAATCACCATGATAGATACATTCCCGGAGTGGCAGGCACTGCCAGCTGGCACAGCCCCATGCCTGCCTGGGCAGTTGCCCCCCCGTAATTAATTTCCCCCAAGATTACTATTTCATATAAAGCATTTGGCTGAAAAAAGGGCTAAGAGTGAGCAGCTGGCTGGGCTGAGCAAGGCCTGCCACCCTACACTGCTCTGCCACCACCCCTGGTGCCAGGCTGGCTGTGGAGGCAGGGGCTGTGCCCAGCGTGGCAAGTGAAAGCGAATGCTCCTGCCACAGGCACAGACACCAGGCCAGCTGCCCCACAGCCTCGCACAGCTCTGCCCTCTCAATCACCCCTCAGGCTGTGCCAGGCCATCCTGGTGTCCCCACAGGACTGGGGACATGAGCCTTGCCTCTAAAAGGGGCTGCAGGAGCTCTGGTGAAAGCCACTTCCCACTGTGCCACACAGAGCCTCAGCCGCAGAGCAGGCACACAGCAGACACGCCACCACCTCCCCCTGCTCTTCTTTTATCCTTCCTTTCTTTGGTTAAAAAAATAAAAGAGGGGGCAGCCCCCAGTGGGGCAGCTCCAGGCATTAAATACTCTGCTGTACATGAATAAAAGCCCAAAGGCCAGGGGCACCTGCCCCTCACAGTGCTGGGTCTGCAGTCCAGGTGGGCTGGGGGCTCTGCCCCCCTCTGCCCATCACAGCACATCCGCCCGCTTGTCCCGCACACGGCTCCGGGCTTTCGTGCGGGCTTTGAAGGCGGCCGAGTTGTAGAGGTGCTGGAAGGAGAGGGAAGAAGAGATGGGTTAGGGATGCTCCATCAGCGCCCACTAGATTCAATCAGCGGCACAGGAGGGGACTGTGGGCATAAATCTGGGAGGTGGAACACACCTTCTCAAAGCGGGAGACCTTGCTGGCTTTTAAAGCAGCTGCATCCAGCACCAAGGGGGGCCCGAGGCCGAAGATCTCCCGTAGCAGTTCGTTGTTCTGCAGAAGCAGGGGCATGTCAGCACCCACCAGCACCAGCCCGGCACTCCCTGGTGGGTCTGCCCAGCCCCTACCTGGAGGTGGTGGCGGATGCCAGAGCCCAGCACCTCTTTAAAGGCTTGGTAGGTCCGCTGGCGTGCCCAGCTGTCCAGGTACATGCACTCCAGGCCAAATCGGATGGTCTCCTCCTGGTACTCCCCACTCTGAACAGAGAGAGGGGCATCAGCAATAACCCAGGTACCAGCCCTACGTATCCCTGGCTCTCCATGGAGGGGAATCACCAGGCAGCTGGGCAGCAGCCATACAGCGAGGGGCTCGGCAGGGAAGGGCACCACCAGCCTCCAGCACCTCAATGAAACGCAGGATGTCCCGGAAGATGGATCGCTGCTTCCGTCGGTCTGTCTTGGCTCGGTACTTGTTGCTCTCAGTAGCCAGGACCTTGAGCTGGGCACACAAGAGCTCTGTATCTTGGTGGCACAAGTCCTCCTGCCAAAAAGCAGGGGATTTGGAGGGATGTGGCTCCAGGCACTGCCACCATGGCCATGACAGGGCAGGGGGATCACCCAGGCCAGACCCTCTGCCTGGACACCTTCTGGTGACTCCAGTCAGTGCCAGCTCAGCCAGGGCACGGGCAGGGTGCTGCTGCCTGCAGCTCCCTCCCACCTGGCTACTGCCCACCCACTGTTGTACCTCCAGGTCCTGGGCCAACTCAAACACCAGTGCGATGGTTTCCCCGGCCAGGATGCGCAGGGCGACGCTGCTGCTGGACAGCAGTGGGGGCAGCTGCAGCCAGCGACTGGGACAGAGAGGCAGGAGGACAGTCAGGGACTCTCTACTCCACAGCTGGCTACCCCACACCAGCCTCCACTCACCCCACACCCCACTCACTTGTCCAAAATGCTCCTGAGGTGGGAGGGGGGGCAGATGGTCAGGAGCAGGGACCATGACTGGAGCGCGCTGCAGTGCAGAGGCCCGTGCTGGGCAGGTGCTGAGCCTGCCTCACCTGTGCTGGGGGGGCTGAAGACCCCCTCCAAGCAGGACAGGCACGAAATCAGGTCCTGGAGGGGAGAAACTCACCAGTCAGACCACAGCTGACATGAAGATGCCATAGTGAGCTGTGCACTGGGGACTGAAGGGGACCCACCGTGCCCAGGGGCACCAGGAACTCCCTGAGACAGCAGAGACTCCTCCACCCAGAACACCCCATCTCTGCAAGGCAGGCCTCCCCCCAGCTCAGCTCCACACTGCCCAGGGAAGGGGCCTGGGCTGTCACTGATGTCCCTGTACCCCTACCCCAGCTCAGCTCCAGGCTGCCCTGGCATCGTGGGCTGAGGGCAGGTGGCACAGCAGCCCTGGGTGCCCTCCTGCAGGGGTATGGGCGACACTCAGGCGCAGTTACCTCGAGGTCAGCAGCAGCAATGTAGCAGCACATGCCCAGGGCCATGGCACACTGGTGAGAGGAGTGAGAAAGGGCAGTCAGAGAAGGCAGTGCCAGGACAGATCCAGCACCCAACCAAAGAGAAGCCAGGCAGTGGTGCCTCTGCCTTGCCCCCCTGCTCTGTACAACACCCAATCCCATCACCTTCCGGCAACTGCAGGGGCCCCAAAGGCTCTCCCCAGCACCGAGGTGTCCCCAGGAGGAAAGGGGCCGGGCCTTACGCTCTGCCGGGCGCTGGGGCTGGCCGTGCTGTCTGTCAGGACGCTGACGAGCAGGGGCTTCAGGCTGCGGAACACCTCTTCTCCCTCCGGGCCGGAGCCCATCTGGAGGCAGAGGAGGGTGAGGACGGTGCCCGCCAGCGCCTGTTCGTCCCCTTTACCTGTGGGCAGCACGAGAGACCTCCCTCAGACCCGGGTCACCAGCCCCGCCGCCCGCAGCCCGCCCGCGCCCTGACCTTTCTTGAGACACTTCTCCAGCGAGTCGGTGAGCGTGAGGCGGCGCTCCAGCAGGAACTCGGACAGGGTTTTGGAGGACAAGGCCAGGCGCAGGCTCTGCAGTGCCGCCTGCCGCGTCTTGGCGCTACGAGAGATCGCGGGACGTCACAGTCCGGGGTGTCCCGGGACATGGCACGTCCCTGCCCCCGGCTGGCAGCGCTGGCAGGGATGGGCAGCGCGCCAGGAGCGCCCACGGCAGGTGGCAGCCGCTCCTCACCTCTTGTCCAGGAGGTTGTCCATGTGCTCCTTCAGCCGGTCCTCTGCCTCCTCCTCCTGGCCTTGTTCACTCGCCGCCTCGCTCCCTGCCCGGGCGGCACCACGTGAAGGCGGGGAGCCCGCGGGTGGGGGACACCGCCACCCACGTGGGGACACCAGGGGGGTCCGCGGGGCTCACCTGGTCCCTCCTCGGCTGGGCTGGCGCCCTCGCTGGCGCTGCTGCAGTGGCTCAGCACCTCGCTGCCGGCCTCCTCCTCGCTGCCGGGCGAGCCCGCCCGGGCGCTGCCGGGGCCGCCTGCGGAGGTGCGGGACAGACACGTGTCAGACCGGCCGCGTCACCCGTGTCACAAATGTCACACCTGTCACACGTGTCCCCGGCCCTCCCTCCCGGCTCCCCCCACTCACGGCGCGCAGCGCGGCGGGACCGCGGCATGGCCGGCGCGCGCGGAGCCCACGCCCCTCCCCCGACGGGAGGCCCCGCCCCTGGGCCCGCCCCCCGCGCGGCCCCCTGGGAGCGCCCGCCGCCGTCTGCGCATGCGCCGTGGGACCTGCCCGTATCCCTGTCCTGTCCCTGTCTGTACTCCTTCCCTGCCCGCCCTGCTGGAATCCCTGTCCGTGACTGTGTCGCTGGCCCTGCCCGTATCCCTGCCCTGCCTTTACCCTGTCCCTGGTTCTGCTTTTCTCCCTGCCCCTGTCCCTGCCCCTCTCTCCGTCCTGACACTGTCTTCACCCCTGGCTCCTCATTATCCCTGCCTATATCCCTTGGGCTGGGTGTGAAATGCTCCTGACACCTGTCCCTGCCTACAGCCCTGCCCCTGCCTGTACCCCTCTCCCCACTGCTGGTCCTCTCCCTGCCTATATCCCTGCCTGTATTCTTGCCCCGTTGTCACCCACAATTAAGGGGACACCTGTCCCTGCTCCTGCCCATATCCCTGCCCATATCCCTGCCCTGCCGCTTAGTATTTCTCATATGGAGTGTTATGACCTTTATTAAGATCTATACACCAACAGTTCCCTTGTTCACTGCATAGCTATGGTTGGGTAGGAATGGCAGCAGGGCCCCAGCTCTGGAGGAGGACAGCCCCACCACAAAAGATGAAGGCTACTCCTGGACTCCTCAGATAAGACCAGCATCCTGGGCCCTCCCATTATCTGGCCTCACCCCTTAAGATAGTGAGACTGACTCCAAAACAAGGAAGAAAGGATGCCAAAATCATGATTGCACTGGCTTTACAAAGCCATGGGGAGAGTAGGGACTGGTGAAACCCTGCTGTGCCTCAGCACTCAAAGGGTGCGAGAGCCATGTGTGAACCACGTTTGGAGTGCCCCAATTTGGCTGGGACACCCTTTGGGTATGAATAAAGAATGTCTCTTTATTCATGATCACCTTGGTGTCTTGGTCCTGGTGCTTGGGCCTCGTGGACCAGGTGTGAAATGCTCCTGACACCTGTCCCTGCCCACAGCCCTGCCCCTGCCTGTACCCCTGTCCCCACTGCTGGTCTTCTCCCTGCCTATATCCTTCCTGATGTCCCTTTCTCTGCCTGTTTTCCTGCCCTGTTTTCACCCATCACTAAGGGGACACCTGTCCCTGCTCCTGCTCATATCCCTGCCCTGGCCATGTTCCTGCTGCTACCAATATCTCTACTTCTGTTCTTCTCCCTGCTCCTGTCTGTATTTCTGTCCCTGCCTATCTCTGCTCGGTCCAGTCCGTACCCCTATGCTGTCCCTGACCCTGACTGGACCCCATCTCCCTCTTACACATATCCCTGCCCTTGCTGCTGATGCTTCCCTGCCTCATCCTTGTCCCTATCCCTGTCCCTTACTGCCTCCTCTCCCTAGCCCCTGC